CTGGCCAGTCGCGTCTGGGCTGCTGCCCAGCTGGTGCAATCCCGCAGCGGCCCCGGGGCGGAGGCATCGGCAGCCCAGGCCCGTTCGTTCCCCTGCGGGATTGCACCAGCTGGGCAGCAGCCCAGACGCGACTGGCCAGGGGCTGGGCGCAGCGTGCGCGCTGCTGGGTCCCCGCAGCAGGCCCGGGGGGTTCGGGCCCGGGCGCCAGAGCCGCAGCCGCCGAGCTTGGCCATCGGCCGCTTCCTCCGCCCGCGGCAGTGGGAGCTGCAGCAGCGGCTGCTCCCGAGTCCCGCTGCCCGGGGGGGAGAACAGCTGCCGCCTGGCCCCGCGGGCCGCCCCCCTACTCTCTCTACCACCTGACTGAGTCCTGCCTGCACTCGGGGCCAGGCTGGACTCTCACTCAGCCCGGCCCCGTGCTCCCCCTGTGTCTCCCGGGCCTCCCTCCAGCGCTTGTGGAGGAAGGGTGTTTTTTTTGGTTGGTTGGTTTTTTTGCCCCGCCCCCTCCCGCCACGCGCCGCTCCCCCCCCGCATCCCGATATTTGACTTGGGTGATCTGGTCACCCTACTTGTGCCACTGTTCTGGACTCATGAGTTGCTCAAAGTGCTGAAATGAGATTCATCCAAAAATGGATTAAAAACCAATACAACATTCAGGTAGATCAAATATTTATATTTAAAGTCCCCAGACATTAAAAGGTCATAATAAATTTTAATATTTCCTCAGAATTTAAGACCTGAATTGGTTTAAAGATTATAGTCATGTACTAGGAAAAGACAAAATAGTTGTAAGTTTAATTCCTGATTTAAAAAAATAGCTAAAAAAAAAAATCTCTGCTCAGTTTCCTAGAGCCACATGCATCTCCTCTCGAAGAAGTTTTCTGCCTTTGGTTTCCAATAGATCACAATCTGACAAGTGCAAAAACACAACAGAAGCAAAACACTGACAACGCATTTTAAAATACACACACAGTAAACATTTGCAAAATGATTAAGTGTGGAGATGAAAGTAAAAAGGATTCAACACCTTAAGCTGTCCAGGGGGCTCAGCAACAAGTGTCATTTAATGACATGTCAGCCCTTGATGAGCCATGTAAATTGCAGTAGATAGATGATGGATAAAGTGAATTGGGTTTAGATTTACTCGTCTCTTTGCCATTGTCTCTTTTCCCACTATATGGCTATGCAATTGATGAGAATATTACCACTGTCAAAATTCATGAGTCAGGCCCTCAAAAAAACATGAAGTTTTGTTTTTCAAATAATAGAGTTGGGGATATTTTGTATTTACCTTCTGATTTCCGAGCCTTTAGATAGTACTCACTTCACGTTTTCAACTTTTTTCTGCTGATAAAAGCACATCCTCTTCTTGATGGTATTGGAGACATTAACCTCACTGACACGAAAGCACAGGATTCTGGAGACAAACACTGTGATTAGAAACATACACTTAGATTGTTGCAAAAATTGTATTGTGGTTCTGAATTTATAATGATGCCACATTTGTCACTCTCACCTTTTAAAATGCAGCACTGTAACTTTTCCCAGTGATTTCTTCAGAGCTTTGTATCAATAAGAAGCTTTCCCACAATCTCTCAGGACAGAATGGAAACATATATAGATTGTAAACTCTCCAGGTCAGGAACTCTTTATTATGTGTGTTCAGTATATAAAACAATGGGGCCCTGATCCCCCAACCAGGTCCTCTAGGCACTACCATAATTAATAACACAGACAAATTATCTTCTCAGCTCCCAGCCTGAGTAACCAGGCCATGAACTGAGAAGGTCATAGATCATTGAGCAACAGCAGAGCCACTCTGTTCTACAGGTGGAACTGCCCATGGATTTTCATTGTCATGGCTCCACCTGCACTGCCCCCCAAAAAGACTTCTTGTACACATTGGGTTGCAAAGATCCCCTGCAAATCTCTGGCTTCTCTGCGTTTGCTCCCCCATGTTCTGGGCACTCACCCACAATGAAACCACACTGGTCCTGCTGTGATCAGGGTTCTTTGCATCTATGGGAGGTGTAAAGAAAGATCTGACCCTTAGTCAGTTTTTGACATTTATGTCCAGCTTATCCATACAGTATTACCTTTTGTATATTCAAGGCATCAACTGAGGGGGGAAAGGGAGGGGTTCTTAAATAGGTGGATGGGGGTGGACCCTTGGTCGTTTGTTCTAACACCATAAAGCTCAGAACCTTGTTAATTATGAAGCCCTGACAGCTGGGCTCAGATTGTTATAGAATATTGATTGAGAGACTTCTGCCACTGCCATTTATTAAAAATAGTCATCAGTATCAGAATCTCCACTCCACCCCCAGGGTTTCTTCAATACTTCTTATCAAAACATTTTTTCTAAAAACTCTCCTGATCACACAATAAAAAGAAAAATTATTAACCCTGGCACTGCAGACTAATTCCAGCCATGATCAGTCATAGTGATAAATTGTCCAGAGAGAAGAAGCCACAAGTGAGCTTTTGGCAGTAATAAGTTAAGCTGATTTTTACAGTGAAAGAGCATCTTACCCAGGTTCCAGGTCATGTGGCTGACATGGCACAGCTGATTTCCACAGCTGTAATTGCCTGTGTGCAGAAATATGTCAGGTCAGAGGTGTTTGGGTTGGTCTCTTGCACCTCTATTATTCATTCTTACAAGTTAACTGAGTGGCCATTCTGTATAGACACCCCCAGCTATAAGTGGCATTTCATTATGATGAGTATCCAATTCTCATACCCTTCCTGATCTGATGCAATTTGGCATAATTCCACAAATTTCCATGTTCTGAGAAGAGTAAATGCAACAATAGCCTAGGTCAGTTATGTCAACAAATCAGCAGAACCTAAGGACAGCAATCTGCCCTCACCTGCTGGAGGCAGTATTTGGTGCAGGGAGGCTTCATCAGCTGACTAGAAAGAATTATGTGATTGGCTGAGAGGATCATATAATTGGCTAAAATTGGTTTAGAGGCGCTCGCCATCTGTCTTTTACAGAAATACCAACTAGGAGTTTTATTCCAAAAGTAAGTGGTGGGTCAGGTAGTTTAGATCTCTTTACTCTAGCACAGGAAAATCATTGTCTTGTTTAGAAAGCAAATGAAATTGGATGTGATTTGGTTCTATTATGTCAGTAGCCGACTAGCTGTTTAGTTTTGTCCACAGAATCTACCTCTAATGTACAAAATGCATTCCAACTGCAGGCAAGAGTCATGAGTGTTCACATTTCTAATATTGTGATGTCAGCGATCTGTGGCTTTTTGGGAACAGATTCTCAGATGATCCTGCTTGACTCTCCAAAACACTTGGTTAAACTGGAAAATGTGGTTTCTGATGAGCCTGCCTGCACTAGTAGTAGATACTCAAACCATCATTGCTTCTATCTGTTTGTCTAAGCATGATGGAATGTCTCAAATGTTACACTCAGTGCAACAGTAGGTCAGATTCCAAAGTACAACACTAGGTCTGGCCTAGTTTGGCAATGCCCTGTCACATGAGTGACAAACGAAAAACCTGCCCTCTTCTTCACTCATGGGCTGGGAACACTACAGAGGCAGTACACATTCCTATAAGGTATGGATTGGGTCTTTGCAGCCACATCATCTTCCCTTCTCATCCTCTGCTAGGAGTGATAGTGGTGGGTGTCAGAGGCAATTTTTGTAAATCAAGGGTTCTGATCAGTTAAAGACAGTAATGATTTTATTGTTTAGTCATATTAACGCCAAATTAATTTAGCTTTAAGGCCACATTCCTACTGCAGATTATGGAACTTCATTTTTAAAACCTGGTTATACAAGTGTATGAAACTTCTGCTATAGCTCCCACTGATGTAACTCAAGGACAGCTAAACTCAACTTATTGAGCTCTCTCAGAGGAACATGACATGCCCAACTCTTCTAATTGAGTTAACCTGCAAAAGAGAGGTTTGTAACAGAAATGCTGATAGACACTTAACTCTAGTGGTACTACCAAATTTTAGAATAAGGTGTTTTAAAAAGGAATATGAACAATGAGGACCAAACAATATGTCATGTTTAAGTCATCCCTTATTCCATCCTCACACTCAAGCAAAATTGGTAGCTTTATTTTGCTTCATTCTTGTCAAAGATGGGTGGTCACTCAAAGGAACTAGCGGCAAGTGGGATGAGTAACTCTTTTCCTCCCTTGGAAGCCAGATTTTCTAAACTGCCTTTCTAGAGCGTCAAGTCACTTTTAGGAATAAATCTGAGAGCTGAAGTCCCATGACAGGATTTGGCATCGTACCAAATCCTAACACAGCAGTATTGCACTAAGAGGGTAGCACAGTTTGAAGTGTCATTCTTCACTCAAAGACACTAAATGATGAGATTCTGCCATTACTTCAGGGGCTGTAAGCAACCTACACGGGACCTGGAGAGACCTTTCCCCAATATCAGCCATAGGTGGGCGAGGCTGCTGTAGGTGGACCTATGCTGGCCCCTCCCCCTGCAAACCCAGTGGTCCACTTGTGGGGCAAGTGAAAGTCAAAGATCCTATGGCCTACTCAAGAGTAAGGGAAAATGGGTTTTAACAGCCAACAATATTTTTAGCTATTACTTTGTGCATAGCAAATAGTATCCTGGCTTACAGTCACTACACTACCACTATTTCATTGCTTAGCTAATTATACACATGGTGTTAGTATATACACTTTAATAGTGTATTTTCAGGAAGCAAGGGGAAACTGTTCAGTATGGAAGTGCTACTTCTCCAGAGCTAAGCTGGCCTGGCAGCAGACAGTTCCATATTTAAAGTGACAAGAGGAAAAAGAACCATAGATCCCTGCTATTTTGTCCAGCTTTATGTGCAAGACTCATTTTTTCCATAAAAGCTCCATTTCCACTGAAAGCATTTTGCAGCATACAGCATCATTGGAGCTAACATGGAAAGCTATATTTCAGAATACCAACAGTAAGAGGCAGCATAGCAATCACTATTCTATTACATAATAAAATATACTGTGACAAAACAATCCAGCATTTTCTAGACATACCTGGTGTGTGTGGAATATTCCATGCAGAATACATATGTTTTCATTGCAGCTCAGCACAGCCTTAGCAGAAGAGTGAGGAGAATGTTCGCAGTTTTCACTCTGACAGGTAGTGGTCTTTGCAGTTTTTTAGGGTTACATGCTGCTAGGTGGATGGCCAGTGAGGATTGCTGAGATTGAACTTTTTGTTAAGTTGTTGGGTTTTGTTGTAGTTAAGAAAAACCTTAAGAGACTTAGAACTATCAGCTGATACACTTAGAAGTATGTAGTTATAGACCAGCTATTAGGGTTACCCTCATCTTCTTGTGTAGTAACCACACTTTTTACACCTAGTTTAAGGCCCTGATCCTGCAATGAACTCTGCATGGCGACAAGCCCCACTGGAGCCAATGGGGCCAACAGGGGTCCATCTTCACAGAGCCCCTCTGCAGTATCAGTTCCTTAGACTGCAAGCTCTCTGGGGCAGGAAGCACACCTCTCTATACAACTGTATGGAGGCCACAATCCCAACGGAGACTTCTGGGTGCTAATAAAGCAGTGTGCACTCACTAGCCAGGGATGGAAAAATAAAGTCCCAACTCCAAATCTCTCCACATCACTTTCTTCTGGGTTTCCTTTATTTCCCAAAACCCAAACTAAAAACCAGAATAAATCAACTCCAATTACTAGGTAATAACCAGCCAAGGTCTTGCCACCTGGGAAAAGAGACAACACACCCTTTCCCTATGGCAGTCCTTCTCAACCTTTCCAGACTACTTTACCCCTTTCAGAAGTCTGATTTGTCTTGCATTCCCCCAAGTTTCACCTCACTTAAAAACTACTTGCTTACAAAAATCAGACAAAAATACAAAAGAGGGTCACAGCACACTATTACTGAAAAATTGCTGACTTTCTCATTTTTACCATATAATTATAAAATAAACAATTGGAATATCAATATTGTACTTACATTTCAGTGTGATACTTGAGTCTGTTTTTCACTTGTGAGCCTTGTGTGAAGCCTGAGCCTCAGGCAGTGGGGCTAAAGCATGTAACTTAGCTTCACGGGGCCCCCTGTGGTGTGGAACCCCAGGCCATTTACCTGCTTGGCACCTCCTAATGCCAGCCCTGCACGTGTGACTCCCCATAACCTGTCCTGTGACCCCTTTGAGGGCTGCAACCCCCAGGTTAAGAAACACTGACCTAGATGAGTTGAGTACCCCCTGGAAGACCTCTGAGTACCCCAGTGGTATATGTATCCCTGGTTGAGAGTCACTGCCCTATGGTAACTTCCCCTACCCTACCTTCCCTTTTCCTTTTATAACTCTGCCCAGATCAACCATCTGATAGGCAGGAACCTGGTAACTCCTTACATGCCAGAGAGCCTTTACACCTTGTCACAATGCTAATGGAGTAGAAAAACAGGCTCGTCCCTATTGTATTTTGAAATTGGAACAATATTTCATAAATACTTAAAAATAATCATCGTTTGTGCCTTACATTTACTTTAGCAGCTCTTATGTCTTAGTGCTTAAAGATGTAATGGCATGTAGTGATGATTAAATACACACTTCACATATTTGAGGGCTTTATCACCAAATATTAGTTATTTTTTCAAAAAATACACAAATTCTGAGCCACAAAATTGGTTGACTATAGCCTGCAAATAATACTGGCCCCATTTCCCAATATAGCAGATATAACTCATGCACAGAAGATGACGATAATGCTTCTTAGATGAGAATTAATGTAATTGGATATCATTTCCAGCTAAATTGTAGGTGATCACTAGGGAAGAACACGTTCTTAATATATGATTAATTGCTGTTGCTGGTGTAGCTACAGGAAAGAGATCTGACAGGGAATAGTCTCAATAGTTCAGATGAGGATTTGTAAAACTCTATAGCTCCTGAATTAAATGAATGTTTATGCTCAAGCTACTTTTAAGTGGAGACACTTATGGCAACAAGCATGTTTATGTTGATTACTTTAATCTTGTGCCTGTAAACTGTTGCTTTGATGTTCTTTAAATTACCAAAGGTATTTAAAGGATTCTGCCTAACATGCTTTCAAATTCTATCTTTTATGTGAATCTTTTCAACTTGTTTAATTGTGAAAATATACATAAAATGCAGTGGGAGTTGGACTGGTGACTCATGCCTCTCATAATTCTTCAGAATATAGGGGAGCAAGAATTTTTGTAACTGCATTTGAAGCTTTTCAAATTTAATTTTCACTGTAAAACAGACCTTTCAGTGGCACAGCTATACCGTTGCAGTTGCAAAAGTGCTAGTGTAGACATAGCCTTGACATAGCCTTAAAATAGCTGCAGGAACTCCCTCTTTTACTCAAAGAGGAAACATGGCACATTATCCTTCATACAAAGGGATAAATACTTCTACCTAAAACACTCTTACCTCCTGAATTTGGATGTTTAGATAAAACTGTGACCCACATCCAAATCTCCCCAGTTTTGCCCATCTCTCAGAAATCACCTGGAGTATGTTGCTATTGGAGTGGAAACTCTTACTTCAAAGTAATCGATTCTTTTTTACCCCCAGCTACCCTTCAGCCAATGAGAAGTTCAGTCACTAGACATCAGCTGTCAGAGGCTGATGAACTTTTGTGTAAAACACAAGGAACTCAAAGCTTAAAATGATCCCCTGGAGGCTTGAAGATGGCAATATTTACCACAGATAGCAGAGAAGAGTTTTATTATGCAGCTGAAAAGAGAAGAATCTGGAAGGCCTATCTGCCAAGCTAACGCGGCACTTGCAAAACTATGTTGCAATTTCTAGAGATCCCAACTGAGATGTGTGTAGGTGCTGTGCACACACAGTAAGGGAGTCCCAGCCTTAGAGAGCTTACATCTAATAGATAAAAGGTGGGAGAAAAGAAGCTTTGTTATTCCCACTTTACAGATGGGGAATTGAGTCACAGATTAAGTGATTTGTCCTTAATCATACAGGAAATAAATGGCAGAGCAGGAAACTAAACCCATATCTCCTATGACTCAGCCCAGTGCCTTAAACATAATACTATCCTTCCTCTTAAAAAGGTAGAAAGGCTCAGCGGGGTGGAAAATTTTATCTATTGTAAGACCATCTGTGCTAACCACTATGCCACCAATTTATCTGAAACAAAGACATACAGTGTTCTTATTGTGCATCTCTAAACCGTCCTATTAAGAAACTTTGTAGATTTATAAAAATAACAAACTTTCACTATGCACCTGCAGCTGACTAAACCATTATTATTTGAAACTTTACTCTTGGGACATTTAATTGAGCTTGGAGTATGAGGAATCAGATGATGACCATTTCCTTGTTCTACTTTAGAGAGGAAATCTGTATCGCCATACAGTACCCTACCTTAGTGTATATACAGTACCATGGAGTATGGACTGAGAGCTGCTAAAGTAGGCTGTTTTTCCATTTGAAGAAGGTAGTCGGGGAGGTGGGAAGGGAAATGTCCAAAGCAGCAGTAAACTTGGGTGGAAGGGCTGGAAGTAGATCTCTCCCCTGTATATAGCCTGTCATATATGAGCTTCACTTTCCCCAGCTGTCTGGTGGGGTTCATGAGAAGGCAGTGCCAGCCTGTGGCTCTGCTTTTGATAACAGAGAGCACTGGCAAATGAAAAATGATTCTGGCACTGACTTCTCTGGCTGTCTTGGTGTTTGTTACTGGAGTGTGCATCTGCACACAGTGAGTATAGATTACACTGGTGGATAGAGCATCTTGTATGATTGTTAGGATGTCCTCCCTAGCAAGTAACATTATATCAAGCACAAAGGGGTGATCGATTTTGTGATTAGAGCACAGGCTGTAAACAAATGCAGTGCTGATGGTAGCATGTCAACTGAAAAGTAGGGGTTAAAAAGAGTAAAACATGCACAGACATGATGGTTTACATGCTCTCCAATTATGCCTATTTCGCATCTAGTTGCCCCAACATGTTGTTAATAGCAGGACTAATGGACTGTCCCAATGACTTCTAGAGTTAAAGGAACAGTGTACACTAGCAAATGTGGCACACCAAAATATAAACACAAAAGTCCTTTACTTTGACATTCAAAAAAGCATTTTTCCACGGGCTACACCAAAAACAGTATATTCCTTTAGCTGGTACTTAGAGACTTTCCAAAGTGACTCATGCTATGGGTTGCCCTTTATAAAAGGCCTGATTTGTTTCAGATGATAGGTGCTCAGTGCTTTCTGAAAGGTGGGTCCCTTGAAATAGTCTGTATTTGGGCCCCCATAATAAAAAAAAATTGTGATAATCAATGATATAAGTACCTAAAAGAAAAAAAATTGCCCACAAGAAAATCAAGTGGAGAGCAGAATAAATGTAGGTCTTTCATGGGGAAGAGAAATGTCAATCATCCAAAAATACCTCAGCGATAAGGAGGATTGCCAATTATATTTTTAAAATATTCTTTAGGATCCTGAAATATCAATTATGGTGTCAGTTACACTTACATCCCTTTCTATTCTGCTAAATCCTGCTTATTCAAGTCCTATTTAAAAACACTTTTATTCTCTGTTTTCCGCAGGAGAAGGAGGTTAAACTTGAAAGACCCTTCAATTATATATGAAGAGGCAAATCTGCTGGGGATGAGTAGCTGCATATCTGAGAGCAGGTGAGCACCTCTGCTCTTCCTGCAATTACCTATTTAAAACCCAAAAGGTGCTGTGCAGTAGCAGTACTGTACGTGTTAGCTGAGGTTTTAGTTTTTGCTGAAATAAAAAAAAAAAAAAAAATCTACCAATGAAGTTCTGTTCTTCAACACTTCAGTAGGTTTTGCGCATCTATTCAGCAGAGCTTTTCATGTTGTTCCCTACTTCCCTGACAATCCACTGTCTGCATCCTCTCTCCTAAGTACTTTGGAGCCTAAGCTTCATTGACCATCAGTTTTACACTGACTTGGCTTTTAAACTGTCTCCAGTCTAGTACTCTACACTTAAAGGAAATCGCATAGTAAGACTTCTCCCTTCCTTGTCCCCTCCTCCCAACCCTACCTTCCCAAGCCAACTGCTAGTCTCTCACCCTTGCAGAAGGGCATTAACGATCCATTGTAAAGATCTTGTTAAACAGTCTCTTACTAAATACCCACTTCTTCGGATGCATGTAGTGGAAATTTCCAGGGGCAGGTATAAATATGCAGGCAAGAATCAGTGTAGAGATAACGAGGTTAGTTCAATCAGGGAGGATGAGGCCCTCGTCTAGCAGTTGAGGTGTGAACACCAAGGGAGGAGAAACTGCTTTTGTAGTTGGCTAGCCATTCACAGTCTTTGTTTAATCCTGAGCTGATGGTGTCAAATTTGCAGATGAACTGAACCTCAGCAGTTTCTCTTTGAAGTCTGGTCCTGAAGTTTTTTTGCTGCAGGATGGCTACCTTTAAATCTGCTATTGTGTGTCCAGGGACCAATCCATGCAACAAACCTCGATGCCAACTCTGCCCACATATCTACACCAGCGACACCATCACAGGACCTAACCAGATCAGCCACACCATCACTGGTTCATTCACCTGCACGTCCACCAATGTAATATATGCCATCATATGCCAGCAATGCCCCTCTGCTATGTACATCGGCCAAACTGGACAGTCCCTACGTAAAAGGATAAATGGACACAAATCAGATATTAGGAATGGCAATATACAAAAACCTGTAGGAGAACACTTCAACCTCCCCGGCACACAATAGCAGATTTAAAGGTAGCCATCCTACAGCAAAAAACTTCAGGACCAGACTTCAAAGAGAAACTGCTGAGCTTCAGTTCATCTGCAAATTTGACACCATCAGCTCAGGATTAAACAAAGACTGTGAATGGCTAGCCAACTACAAAAGCAGTTTCTCCTCTCTTGGTGTTTACACCTCAACTGCTAGAAGAGGGCCTCATCCTCCCTGATTGAACTAACCTTGTTATCTCTACACTGATTCTTGCCTGCATATTTATACCTGCCCCTGGAAATTTCCACTACATGCATCCGAAGAAGTGGGTATTCACCCACGAAAGCTCATGCTCCTATACGTCTGTTAGTCTATAAGGTGCCACAGGACACTTTGCTGCTTTTAAAGATCCAGACTAACACGGCTACCCCTTTGGTATAAAATATTGTTACAGATGGAGGATTTTGGATGGCTTGAAATGTAGTGACCTCTGCAGTTCACAAATACTACTCTTTTAAGAGACTATGTCTTCATCCCAAGCTTGCCCCAGTCGCTGCACTGTGTGGTAGAAGAAATGGAGTCTCATGACACAAGTTACAGACATTCTGCTTTTGATTTTGGTGCCTGGTGCCACTTTGTTTTCTGTGTGGCCTGTGTTGGGCTATTACTGTGATGTCCCAGTTAATACTGTCAACCTCTCTAGCTTCACTGGATCACATAGTTTCCCTGTTGCTGGCTTCTTTTCCCTTCTGTCTGTAATAGTAGCAGTCTGTAATAAAAGCCTAATGCTTTCTACAGCTTCGCAGTGCATTACTGAGCCTATGTTTCAAATTGGCAGACTTTAACACAGTGGTAGCATGCAAAACAGATGAATATCAATACATATTCATGCCATGGGCTAATAATGCAGCAGCAGAAACACAAGAAAGATCAACATTCCATCTAGTTCTGTGTTCTCTCCTTGACAGGAACATCTACTGAATGCTGCAGAAAAAGGTGAAAATGCCCAAATGTGTAGCTGTGTGGTGTGTTTGTGCTGAGTTAGTGGGGAAATTTCTTCCTCATTGCAGCTGATGATCAGCTCATGCACTGAAGCATAAAGATTGGTAGCTGATGTAAATCTTATCCTAGCTTGTATAACTGCAGGTAAAGCAGCGGAGCGTATCCATAATTTGTGTAATTTTTGGTCCAATTGATATAGCGTGAGGACATGAAGGAACTTAGCTCGTTGGAACATAACACAATTTTAGGAACAGGAAAAAATATTTTGTCCTAACAAGCCTGCTACATTTTATGTAACTTTCAGCCCACATTCTTGCAGTAAAAGTCTAGATTCTAAATCCTAAATTCATGCCTATTCTTTGCTGTGATGGCCTCCTATGACAATTTTTGCCATATGTTTAGTACTCACTGAGTGAAAATTTTCTGCTTGAGAATCCTATTTTCTCTCAATCATTAAAAAGTTAGTAAAGATAATTTACTCTTAAACACCTTGTTCAGAGTCTGGAGGGCCTCCCACTAGATCACTTCCAAATCTCTGCCTACTGGAGGCATCAGAACCAGCCTTTTATTTCCAGATGTCAGTGTCTTACTGTTTTTCCAATAGGCACCATGAACTTCTCTCTCAGCCAGGTATGGACATATTGGGACTGTTTGGTGAAGGTAAGTATGACTGAATACACACCTCATGCCACATTCTCTTAATGGAATATATGCTTCTCTACAGTGGCAGCTGTCCAGGGTAGAATGTGCTTCATCTGTTTAAATATCTGCCTTCCTATTTATATGCAATGTGTAGATGCAATAATAATTCCAGAGAAAATGCATTACACTTTGCATCCTTAGGGTTTTTAAATTAGCAGGAAAAGCTCCGGGCCTCAAGAAGTACATTTTGCCCCCATAGAATTGCAGTACTGATTACGCCACTGCTCCCAGAAGAGAAAATTAACAACAGAATGAAAAACAAATCTCATTAGGAATTCAAGTAGCCTAGTCCTTTCTCAAGATTATCTGTCTTACAGGAGGCATATGTGGTTTGGCTGTGAGTCTGTCTGTTTAGATCTATGAGTACTTAGCTTCAGATGTACAGTGCTGGAACTTGCTTCTACCACTTTGACACACCCAAGCTGATCTTACTTGCCTCTCACATTGAAAGCTTCAAGATGTAACTATGGAGAGCAATTGAAAATAAGATTAGTAAGGTAAAGAGCAAGGGGGGTTATTTGACAGCCCCGTTTGGGGTGCAGGAAGAGGGGAAATTGAACACTGGGAGAAGGGGGGGGGGGCTTGGCTGCTGTCACCAAAAGTGTAACCTAGCAACCTGAACACAATCAGGCACAAAGTAAACAGACTTTTTAACAGAAGTGAGGTAACTTTGCACGTCTCCCTCCAGACCGTGGGAGCAAAGGGGACTCATTCCCCAAGCTATGGTATCAGTGTAAATGGTGAGTAGGTCCTTTATATATATTTAATAACAGGCACATTTCTGACTTTTACTGCTTTTCTTTGTTCAAATATCACAGTCCCAACTTTCCCTTTGAAACAGCAGCCCTCTGAAATGTAGGAAGCTGGGGAGAGGGAGCTTCTAGCAAGTAGCCCTGATTTATGCAAATATGTACGAACAAGCTATGGTCCCAGGCCACCTGTGTGTGAAAAGAAAGGTACACTTGCACATAAAATGGCTGGGATGGGCAGGTAGGTAGCTTCATAATTCCCAAAGTCTAAGACTTAGTGCTGCTGCTTTTATAGCCCTCATGTTTGAGTGTCCACTCCCCCACATTACCTTGGTTATTACTGTTTGTGTTTTTCTTATCTCATACCTGAGCCTATGAGGTATTCAGGACTCTCAACTCCCATTGGCTTCAGAAGGAGTTGAGGGTACTCAGCATTTTGCAAGGTCAGGCTAGTTTTGTTTCTTGGCTCTGACTATTTACATGATTAGCAGAGTCTCTGCTGGCATTATTTTATGTATTTATTTATTTGCATTACCATTGATCTTGGTTGGGGTCTCCAGGTACAGAGCCCCATTGTGCTAGTCGCTGTACATAAATGTAGAATGAACCAGTCCCTGCTCTGAATAGCTTACAATCTATATAAATAGATAAGATAATGGTACTTATCTTCTCCCATCATTTGTTTATCTACATTTTACAGTGGAGGAATTGAAGCATAGAGAGATTAAGTGTCTTGCCCCAGGTCACACAAGAGATCTGTGGAACAGCTAGGATTTGAATCTAGCTCTGCTAAATTGCAGTCTACCTTCTGGGCATACTACTATTAGGAAGGTTTCATCTGAATTAAAATACATTTTTAGGGAGTTTTCAAAGAGCTATAGCAGTGGTTCCCAAACTTGTTCCGCCGCTTGGGCAGGGAAAACCCCTGGCACGCCGGGCCGGTTTGTTTACCTGCCGAGTCCACAGGTTTGGCCGATTGCTTCTCCCAGTGGCCACGGTTCGCTGCTCCAGGCCAATGGGAGCTGCTGGAAGCGGCGGCCAGTACGTCCCTCGGCCCGCGCTACTTCCAGCAGCTCCCATTGGCCTGGAGCAGCGAACCGCGGCCACTGGGAGCCGCGATCGGCCGAACCTGCGGACACGGCAGGTAAACAAACCAGCCTGGCCCACCAGGGGCTTTCCCTGCACAAGCGGCGGAACAAGTTTGGGAACCACTGAGTTATAGAAATGAGGGGTGAAAAGATTTATTAGGTCATCTAATTAAAGTACAACATACACCAATCCTGTACACCTCAGCTGGGAAACCAACTATATGTATACAGCTCACAATTTTGATTCATATGGTAGATGCATCACAACAGTGAAACTGCCACAAGTCTGTTTCATAAGGGGAAGAACCAGCCCCAAGTTACTGGGGAGATGATTATTTTCAGAGGATTTATTTAAATGAACTTAAATTAAATAACTCACAGTGACTTGTTAAAGTGTCATCTCTCTGATGACTGGTGAGGGCTGGCTGGACTTCTTACGGGCCCCTGTTTACATGTGACTGCATTGTTGGGGTGCTGCTGAATATGAGGTGGGTATCATAATCTCCTCCTAGGCCTGGTCACTGAGAGCCACACTACAGGTTTGCAAAATGCTTCTTTAAACTTCCTTTGCTTGCTGCCCAGCTGCCTCTTCAGCACCAGGCATTCGTTAGAATTAGCGTGGGGGTGGCAAGGTGGGTGGTTTGGCCTAGGTGGGGCATGGACAAAATAGCTTTCAAACAGATACTCAGGCACTGGCCTTTAAAAAGCTGTAGTTTCTAAACTCCTAGCTAAAGAAATGCTCAAGCAAATACAGATAAATTGTATGTCAATGATTTCCCCAGTGGGCTCCACTTTAGTTACATTTGAAATGGTGAATTATGAAACAGAGGGTAGAGGGAAATGATAGCGCCTAAAGCTTCTTCCTGTGGTTTGTTCTGCCCTTTGTTAGCACGGGTGGAGTGTTTGAAACAAACCTATGCCCATGGGTACTGAGCAATGACTCCCACTAATCCATGCTAAGCACCAACCCACACCCAGGGCCTGTTGTGTGATTTAGGGATTCATTGCGCAGTCACAAGGTGACCAGTGTCATGTGGGTGTTTTTCACTGCCCATTGCTTCCTGAGGGAACCCATTAAAGCCTTGAGGGAGTACGTCTTTGTTTCTATTTGTAAATGCTACTTCAGGAAGCACCTGCCAAAACAGCGTGGTATAATAATAGTCCCCCCTTATAGAACGCTTTATAAACATTCACTAATCCTCACAACACCTCTGTGAGGTAGATATTGTTAGCCCCATTTTACAGGTGAGGAAACTGACACAAAGAGAGGTCAATACCTCTCAAACCATGGTATAAGTGAGTTTAGGACCTGAATGTACCTTAAATTATAGCAATTGTGTGAAGAAAGATTCTGTCTCCCCACACAATAGAGTTTCTCCATAGGTGTATATAGTACATGTACATAGAATCCATGTGTCTGAATTCCCAACTGAACTGTGCAGCTACGGATGCTGGAATAATCACCAACTTTTCTGTATTGTCATAGAATCACTAAAATGGCAACAGAGATAAAGAACTTTGAACCTGTTCTTCAGCAGCTGGAGTAAGTACCCAAGTGCCATTCCCTACATTTGGAAGAAACACCTAAGCAGCAATGCCATGAGTGATCAGGTGGGAAAGCAGCAGCTTGTACCCCTGCAAACAGTAACTGAGCTGATGTGGCTTCTGACTAAAAATGGTCATATGGGGTAGTGATAGGTGTTTCATTGCTGACAGAGGGAAGCCTGCTGGGCCCATCTCCATCAGGCAGACAAAAGAAACATTCTGCTTGGAGTTTGAGCGTTAGCTTTCTAGCTAATAAACCTGCACACACCAGGTTTCCTGTGCAGTGACATAAGCAGAGTTCAAGTTACATTGTGCGGTAACAACACTGAGTGACATACCATTAAAAAGTCTGGTTTTGGTTTTCATTTTGAAACCATGGGTGAATAACTACAGAGGCAGCATCCATTCCCAGAACTAAACCTGGGTGAATTGTTCATAACAAATAATTCACAATGAATTTCACCTTGTTTCCTGTTCCCACTTTGTTTGCAAAAAGAGAACATTTTTCTGAACTATATTTGCGGTATGAAATTATTCACTGAGTAATTTCTGCTGATAATCCTTGGTCTGTGGCTTGTTTATGAGCAGTTTGTTGGGGATGTTCAGTGCTTTCAGAGTGAGCTGTTTTATTTGGATGTCCAGGGCTAGAGTCTCTATATTTGAGCTGGCCCTTTTACACTGTCCTTGGGACAAAGGAGGCATAACAGGATTACTGAGGATTCCCCTTTTGTAGGTGAATTCCAGGCTGGTATAGAAGCCGAATAGCCAGTTGTATGCCACCTCTTCATGCCCTGCTCCAAAGATAGGGGGCACATCAGGGAGAAGAGACATGTTGGGGTAATTCTCAGACAGCAGAACAGCCATCTAAGGGGCTATTATAGCTGGGGAAGGTTACAACAACCTGAGGCTGTTCTTATACTTACAAGAGGGGATGAACTGTCCCCTGGCTGCCCCCAGCCTCAATAAGGTGCAAAGGTGGCTCTAAACCAGGGGTGGGCAAACTTTTAGGGCTGAGGGCCACATCTGGGGGTGGGGAAATTGTATGCAGGGCTGGGGCAGGGGGTTGGGGTGCGGGAGGGAGTGCAGGATGTGGGAGGGGGTGCGGTGTGGAGGAAGGGGCTCAGGGCAAGGGATGGGCAGAGGAGGGGTGCAGGGTCTATGAGGGGGCTCAGGGAAGGGGGTGAGGGTGCAGAAAGAGTGCAGAATGCAGGAGGGGGCTCAGGGCAGGGGTGCAGGAGGGGTGCGGACTGCGGGAGGGGGTGCACAGGGGTGCAGGGTGCAGCAGGGAGGTCAGGGCAGGGGGTTGGGTGCGCAGGGGTGCGGGGCTTATGAGGGGGCTTAGGGCATGGAGTTGGGGTACAGGAGGGTGCGAGGTGCAGGCAGAGGGCTTAGGACAGGGAGTTGGGGGGCAGCATGCAGGCAGGGTTCGGGCTCCGGCCCGGCACCGCTTACCTAAAGCGGCTCCAGGGTGGCAGCAGCGCGCACCAGGGCCAGGGCAGGCTCCCTGCATTCCTGCCCTGTCCTCGGCCCCGCGCCGCTCCAGGAAGCGCTGAGGCCCCTGGGGGAGGGGGGAAGGAGGGCTCCTCGTGCGCTGCCCTTGCCGCGCCTCCAGGTACTGCCCCCGAAGCTCCCACTGGCCGTGGTTCCCTGCTCCCAGCCAATGGGAGCTGCGGGGGGCAGTGCCTGGAGGCGAGGACAATGTACGGAGCCCTCTGCCTCCCCGCCCCGGGGGCCGCAGGGAGTGGTGCCGGCCGCTTCTGAGAGCAGCGCGGGGCCCACGGTGCCAGGGTGGGCAATCCCGCAGGCTGGATCCAAATCCCTGAGGGGCCACATCCGGCCACTGGCCATAGTTTGCCCAGCCCTGCTCTAAACCACCTTTTTCCCAACACCCCAAGTCTTGCCCATAGTACACAGAGTATGTTTCCGTTCCCTGATTGGATGAGCACAATGCTTAGAATCAGGTTTCTGGTGCTAATACTCATGGTCATGAATTCAAATTCACTTTCTACAAGAGTTGCCTGAAAACATGCCATTTCTACAAACATGGCTGTCAATCAACTTGTATTCATGTGTAAAGCAAACACAGAAGGGCTCAATGAATATTCAGGCAAAATTCAGCATTCACTCAGCTCTACTCAGCAGTTAATAGCCCCTGTTTGAAATACTGCCTGGGCCTGCAAATCACTTCCAAAGAAACCTTCCCTGCTCATCATTCTTCTGCTGCAACAGAGAGCTTTTTGAAAACTTTGTTCCTGCCAAAGCATAGAGCACTCTGACACTCAGTGGGCTGCCATCGGGAAGTATGTGAGGAGTCCTAAAATGGTCTTTTTTTGTAGCACTTCAAAAGGATCAGAGCTGAGTTAAGATGATCATGGGGAAAAATCAGAACCCACATATTCCTGGGTCTCCTCTGCTTCTGATCTAGGAAACAGAACACTGAGCCAGACACTCCAGTAAAATACGATGATGTTTTTTTCTAGCTAAGAAATGCAGTGAAGCATGAGCATGATGCTGCAATGGCTCCTGGTCCTCATATTAGCGTTGATGCTGATAATGCTGGGAGTCATCTGATGAAACGCCAGCTAACGATCCTCTGAGTGGAGGAGTTTTTGTCAGTCTTGAGAATGTGATGTCAGTGCTGTGGTAAAGTTGAACTTCTAACCTGGCCTGTCTCAGCAGATGACAGATTAGGAAGCCATGACTCTGAGTCACCCATCAAAGCTGCCAGCTGGGGCAGTTCTCAGTTGTTTTCATGGGGGTTTCCTCAGAAGGCTCCTTTTTCTGCATGTCAGCAGAAACCCAGGAGTCTGTGTGGGCTTGTTTCTCAGCTTCCATGCTCAGGTGAGCTCTTGCTGGCCTGCAGGTAACAACAAAGTGTTCCCATAAATACAGAACGGACCTGTTCAACACACACAGCAAACTTTCCTATCAGCTTCTCTTCACTCAGGTATTTCATTCAAGCTGTTTTTCCTCGGTAAATTTGTCTAGAGCATTAAGTGCATTTCAGGGCGGTACAAAATTCAGATCCAAGATTTCCCTTTCTGTAAATGAAACATTCTAACAAAGTCTGCTCCAATGTCAATAAGGGAGAGGATTCCCTCAGTTTGCTGCAATCCCTTGGGATGTGGAGGAAAAGAATAGGTGATGGTGGATCTCTCTGCCTGGTCACAATGGACTTGGGGTGAAATCCCTGAGAGGAAGATAACCTGCACTTGGAATGGACTCTTATTCTGCCTTTCATGAACCGGACTTGTACCTAAGATATAGACATTTTCATAAAATGTGATTGCATGCTGATAAGTGGTTTTCTTCTCTTTTTCTCCAAGAACCAAGTGTATATCTGCTAAGGAGAAGATGGAGATGCTAAGGAGCCCAGTTGCTGGCCCATTCAAAGGAAAAGACATCACAGCATTAGCAGGGAAACTCAAACACGTGGCCCTGAACACGCCACTGCGGTTTAGTACGGAGGCCATGAGACCCCAGTCAAAGAACAACTATCGCTTTGGCAACCTCAGCCACCATTCCTTCTTCTCACGGCACAACCCCCATCCTCACCGAGTGACCCACATCCAAGGTATGGCCTTAGGATGGGGGGCAGGAAACAGGAATTGAAGGCATTAATGATGTGGCCTTTCTTTGATGAGGAGCAGAGGTCAGATGGGATGGGAGGAAACAGAAAAATCCATGTAATGCTTCAGCACAGGCCTGATTGCAGAGCACAGTGGGATATGAGGAAAGTAGCAGAACTCTGACTGCATAATGTTTCTAGAGTAAGTGTTGCCCTGGTGATTCTTCTGAGCAGCAGTGATGATCTGAGACTCCTTAGGTTAATCCCATGCATGTCTTTGCTCCATCCCAGGACCTAGTTCAGAAAATCAGCTACTGCATCATCTGGATAAAATAATCCCAGCTGTGTATTTGCAGTTTAAGAATTTATCCCATGCCTGGCTTCCTGTTTAAAGTTGATAGAGGCAGTAGTGTAATTCATCCAAATTGTATATTCCCTGACTAAATAGAGATCTATAAACAGAGGTGCTTCAGGAAGCAATTCAGTATTATTGGGGCAGGGGAGGAAAATTGATCTATGTATGCCACAGCAGAACTCATGCACCTACAGATTTATTATTCAGGCAGAAAGTAACTGTAAATGCTGTGTGTGTTATGCAAGGTGAAAGACACTATTTTCTTGTGTGCTTCTTCCATTGAGTTACTCACTGATATTTGCCTCTTTTCATTTTCTTTTGTAGGCTTAAATGGCGTCCCCATCTGTATGGTTAATGACGGGTGGTCTGTGCTGACCCCTCTGTCACCTCATCCAATGATAAAAGGCCAGCTTTCTACTACCATATTGGGGGTACCAGGGGCTCAGATGCCAATTGGAGATCCACATAGTAATCTGGTCCCCAGGTTAACTGTAGGTTAGTGTGCTGCTCACACACTCAAGTGCGGTAGACTGCTTGATCAGGATGCCTTGTTAGATGGCCTTTTGTCCAATTAAGTGGAATTCCTTATTTAACAGAATTAATCATGCTGTACCTGAAATGGTTCTCAAATGACTTCACTTATTTTGACTTGCTACAGGACTGGAGGTAGCTCAGGTTTTACATTGACAAAAGACTCAGCCTGATTATTTTTCCTGCCCCTTTGAGCTGAAGTGGTTTTGAACCAGAGGAACATAATGCCAGGTTTCAGGGACATCATGTATTGCCACACAGCATTGGTGGAAAAGCAGCTTTGCCCTGGCAGAAGTCTTCCTGTGGCATACAAAAGCACCATCAGCTTCTCATTTTTACAAGGGCCAGATAGCCCTATTTGAGAACCACTTAATCGCTTGCACGTATCCCAAGCAAGTGGAATTACCATGGCAATTAAGTGATGGACCAGGCCATTAAATATCATCATCAGGTTTAAATTGGTTCCTTGCAAACAACCTAATTAACAGTAGCTCAAATAAATGGAGT